GCGGATCTTATAGTTTTTTAGACAGGTGGCAACCCTATTAAAATTTTAAGTAAAAAAGATCCGTCTCCTGTCGATACAGAGTATATTAGAGAAAATCTCGTCAAAATCCGTTCAGTAGTTTTCGAGATTACCGCGTATAAAAAATCTCGACTTTCCTTTATACTATGTATAGATTTTTAATAATTTTCATTTAAAATATAGTTCGATCTTTAACAGAAACCAAATAAATTGAAGACTGAAAGCTCAAAGCTGTTCGCTAAACTTTACAATAGGTTTCTGAAGGCAAAAATTATGTTATTGTGGTAATATGTATATATGAATTTGGCACAAAAAAGTGTAAACTTCGAAGCACCGTAAAAGAAAATAATGAGGTGGAGCGCGAATACTAACGTTCAAAATGTGACCATTATTTCGTTGATCCGCCCTAATAAAACCTTTGTGTTACACACACAGTGTTATCATTCCGTGTTCATAACAATTTCCACGTCAGCATATTTTTAATTAATCTGCCATTTGAAATAAGTCACGATAACTGCTGAGTTATTTAGTTTGTATTGATCCTTTTTAACTTTTTCCCACTATTCGTAATATTACCCCGAAACATAATAAGACGTTTTACAAATTATTTATATGCAAGCGTACCCATTACAAGTACATTGAATTATATAGTTTACCGTGAATTAGAAACGATTCGAGGATCACTTGACTTTTTTTACTCAGTTTTTATTTCCATGCAACCAATTGTAGAAAATAACGAACCATAACACACAGGGCTTTACAGAAAAGTAAAAAGGGATGAAATTATGCTTATTTCGAGCGATAATAAAGATTTAGACATCCAGTTCTGTTTTAAGTGGTTTATTTAAAATAAAAAAACAAGTATTTGTCAGTGTTATTGTGGCCTAGTAACATTTCATTTTTATTTTTAATATTTTTATTGAGCTTTGTACCACGATTGTTTATTAGGAAAAATTGAAAAAGCAACAAAGTCTAAGCGGTAGAAGTTATAGCAGCTATTTCGGAGATCACCACATCTCCTGATCAGACTTCTTTTTTTCTAGACTTCAGTAGGGATCGAACCTGCGTAATCGATGTTCAAAGTCAGAAGCGTTAACCACTGAGCTATGTACATCCCGTAAACTCTTGTTGCTAATTCATTTTCCTTATTCAACTACTATCAAGTGCGGCTGATTTGCCGCTATTTAAACTTGACAGCGTGGTTGTTGTTGTCAATTCTATACATCCATTTGCTTATTTGCTTTTTTGTATAGTTTCAGGCAGGCTCTTCCTAAACTATGTATTTGTCAATGTTATTGTGGCTTACTAACATTTTATATTTATTTTTAATATTTTTATTGAGCTTTGTACCTCGATCGTTTATTAGGAAAAACAAGTAAGAGCAGCGCTGTCTTCGGCTATGCCGAAGGCTTCATACCTTTCATGAACATCTGCAAATTTTAGTTTGACAGATTACTGATTTTGAATACATCTGCATACATCGATAGAGGAGTTACATACTTATATAAAAAATCGTATCTAAACAATCAGAGGTATGGAAGATATACTTTATATGGCACCAATCTAAGTGATTTTCACTGCTATGTGATCGGTATGTAAACCGGTAACACAATTTATTGGGTTTAGTTTCCTACATAAAGGATATATATCGCAAAAACTGGTATCTGAACAATCAGTGCTATAGGAGATAAAGCTTATACAGCATAGATTTTGACGATTTTCTCAGTAGACTTTGTATTATTATTTATAAAATATCTTACGAAATTTATCGGTTTTAGCTGTTCAAATAAAGGAGTTTTACAGTAAAATCCCATACCTGAACAATCAGATGTATGAAAGATATATGTTGTAGTCACCCGATCCTTGTTATTTTCACTGTAAGTATTCTGTTAATAATGAGTGAAAATGGTGCGAAATTTCATGTTCCTAGCAGCATAAATGGAGGAGATATGATAAAAGACCTCATATCTGAGCAATCAGTTGTATGGGGGCTGCAGGTTATAGTGACCCGATCTTCGTTATTTTCACTGTAATGCTGCTTTCTGCTGATAATGAGTGAAAACAGCGCGAAATTTCGAAATCAGTTGTATGGGAGCTATAGGTTATAGTTATGCGATCTCTTTAATTTTCACTGTAAGTTTTCTGTTGATAATTATTGAAAACAGTGCGGAATTTCCTATTCCCAGCTATATAAATGGAGGAGGTATAACGAAAAATTTTATATCTGAACAATCAGTTGTATGGGAGTTATAGGTTATAGTGACCCGATCTTTGTAATTTTCACTGTAAGCATTCTGTTGATAATGGGTGCCAGTGCTGCAAAATTTCATGCTCGTAAATGCTGCATAAATGGAGAAGTTATAACGAAAAATCTCCTATCTGAACAATCAGTTGTATGGGAGCTATATGTTATAGTGGTCCGATTCTTCCGGTTCCGACAAATGATTAATACATTATAAAAATACACCCACCTACCAAATTTGATCCGGATATCTCGAAAACTGAGAGACTAGATTGCATACAAACAGACGGACAGACAGACAGACGGACAGACGGACATGGATAAATCAACTCAGCTCGACGTTCTGATCATATAAGTATACATTTTAATGGGCCTATCTCTTTTTGTTCTGGTACTTACAAACATCGGACCAAAGTTATAATACCATTTCATGCTCATGAAAGGTATAAAAACAAGGTTCGAACGGATCACTCTATACATTCTTTAATTGGAGGAAAAATTGATAGGATAAGAAATGCGTTTTTTTATTGATTGGCATTTGAGGGTTTGATTTACTTAGTTTTGTTCATAACTTCCGTCATTTTATTTTCATAATGGTACGGTGAGTAAATATTCAAGTTTTTTTTTATATCTTCGTTTAGGTAATACCAAACCTATGACAACAAGTTTTTTGGACTTCCTCAAAAACTTGTCCAACATTTAACTTCAAAGTAAAATTAGTAACTTGTAACCTCTAGCGATCTTTTTTAACAATGCGATAGGAGCTCATTTACAGAGTTAATAAAGTTTGAAACTTATTCCTATTTAGTATTGTAGTATTCCCGAAAAGATGTCATACGTATTTCTTTAAAGTTATATTTCATTTTGCAAGTTTTGCCGCTATTCGCAAAGCGCGGCGCTAATCTGATCATGGTGCACAGTTCCCGCAGATGGTTAGATGCATTGATAACACAATAGATGAAAAGCTCACACAGGTAGTTTGTTCCAGTATTCTTCGTGCAAAAACCTGTGGAACTGTCAAACTACAATGTTACTCTCTCAAGTGAGAGTAAAAGGGGAACAGTTACAGAAGTGTACGGGAACGCAAACAGCGCTATTTCCTGCACAAACGTCAGACGGTTTGTTTACATGTCATTGGTAGAACACTGATTTGGCTGAAAATACGTAAATAATTATTAGAAACTATACAATTAAGAATAAATGCGTACATATTCAAATATTTCGTTGTCTACTTCCATATTTGATCGCACCGCGTTCTGTGTTTGTTTACAAATGCAACCCTGCCTATCGTTTGACACTTTTCATGAACAAAAAATGCAAAATCTTGTAACTTCTGACGGGAACGACTTCCTGTTATTTCATACTATTTCTTATTATGTCCTAGTGTACTAGAAAAAACTAAGGGTTAGTTTGGGAAATTTCAGAAAGAAAGATATTCAAGGGGCTGTTTATGTAAAATTTTCGTACTTCTTTTCTTGTTAAGAGAACCATTGCAGAGAGAATATCAAATACTTTAACAACATATGTACTACACAAGAATGATAGAATACAAGATTGCGCCGATCAGAGAGGATTTTTGAGAATAACTTTTGTGTGACGTCACACTGGTGCAATTGCGAGAGAGAAATGCCAAAACGTGAGCAAGAATGGAAGAAGAAGAAAAAATGTTGCAAGGAAAACGTAAACAAGTTGCACAAGTGTGACGTCATGCAAACCACGATTCTGTTAAATTCGTTAAGAGAGGAATAGCGGTCCGAGATCGGCGCAACCTTTGTATTCTCTCAATCGTGTGTACTACATACATATGTATGTATCTATTATCACAATAAGACTTACATACAATATTCGCAGTGTGAAATGTTTTATTCTATCGCTCATTTACTTCCAACAGTGTCATGATCAAAAAAATACAAATATTGAGCTAAGTATGCAGAAATTACCGTTAGCTCTTATTCTATGTTGTGTCAAAATTACAAAGCGGTATCGATTACCAGTATCTCATTAGAGCAAAATATGTATTCATTTTTACTATGGGAGTTATATCGTTATCTTAATTCACAAAGGCGACAACCAAAAAATTTTTTATTTTACAGGAGAAGCAAAAACTATTACAAAAAATTGTTCGTTAGGGCCGTTGTGAATTAGTTAATTATATTGACGATGTGTAAATTCAAAACTTTAAAGCCGCTTTTCTCGAGTTTCGCTTTTTTGAGTTGTGGCACTATTGAAGTAAATGAGCGATATGTGGTAACTTAAAATTTCTTTACGCACCTGGTTGGCTCATCTAGTATTAAAACCGGAGGATTATTTACCAGTTCTAAAGAAATCGCTAAACGCTTCTTTTGACCGCCAGATAGATCACCCGTTCTAGTGCATAGAGACTCAAGTAAACCCATGTCTTTCAGTATTTTTCGCACCTAGGTAACAATTAATGAAATACTAATCGATTATGAAATTAAATAAATACATTTTTATATTTTCTACCTGTTCTTGTTTCTCCGTCCTCGTAACCTTTGGTCCAAGTTTCAAATTCGCTGCAAAATGCATTGCCTCCTTGACCGTCAGGAATGGCTGCAGAGTGGTGTCTTGGGATAGGAAGGCGACATTAGGCTTGAATGTTTTTACATCACGCAAATTTCCATTGATTTTTATATCACCAGAGAAGCCGTAAAGCCTGCAAATGAGCAACAAAAAAAAAGTATAAACACTCTGATTAAATTATGTATTGCATACTTATATGAGGATAGTATATTGAGCAGCGTACTCTTTCCGGCGCCAGAGGGACCTACGACTGCACTCAGCTCACCCGCTCGAAATTCTCCTGTCAGGCCATTAAGTATTTGCTTATGTTCTGAAACCAAATAAAAGGTATGTACAAATGTGTATTGGTATTGGGGCTTATATTAAAAATTGCAATTTTTAAAAATACGTATACATATGTATGTATAAATCACTAATACATATATCCATATGTCCAAAACGAGCAAATAGTGTAGTTTTGCCTCGTGTATTCACACCAACAGAATGATGTGTAAGCACGATGTTATGCTTCGTCCAGTCGGACAATGCAAATGTGGATACCTTTTAGGGTACTGGTTTTGTCACGAGAAATTCAAAGCTCATTCAATTTCTGTAGGAAAAATTAGGAAAAATCTACATGAAGAAATAACTATGTACATTCTTTTTATACTACGTAAGGCTAAAAATCTGTACGCCGTGAAAACTTCACCGCTAATGTCAGCATTTTCTAGTGCTTTGACTTCGGCAAATAAATCCGAACTAGAATAAAAACTCTACAAAAAGTTTTCCAAACCAACTACAACCACCTCATCAGCGATGTCAAATTGCGATTTGCGCGGAATTTGTCTCGTTGCGGGGAATGGGGGAATGAGTTGCCTTTTGCGGGGAATTTTGACTATTTAATTATAACTCATTAAAGAACTTACCCCTGATGTTAAAACAGCTTTTAACTCGAACAAATTATGAGTGAGGATGTTTTTGTTGTTGTAGTTTCTGAAGGGGTGCTAAAGGTTCATCTTAAATTTGAGCTCAAAAAGTTATTGGGATCAATCGTTATTAACTAATTAATTTTAATATATTAATTATATTAATTAATTATTAACGCCAACAATTTTTGAAATCAAGTTTTATGTTTGTCGATTTGATGGTGTTTAGCAATGATAAATATGTGCGACATTTCAGACATTTAGCTCAATAGTTGTGGAAAATAGGAGATATTTTTGACAAAAGTATATTTCAGGTGCGCGATTTATTGAAAATTAAATATCGCGTTGAGCAAACTCCTAAACGATCGACGGTTTCTCCCAAATTTTCAGCAACATATTTTTTCTTGATGATTTTAAAGATTTTGATGCATCTTATATACATTTCGAAAAATCGGGTTTTTTGAATCAGCGTAATATACATACATACATACATATGTATGTCTAATCTCTTATTTGCATTTAAATTCAAGTAAGCCAGCGGAAGAATGTGTGAAAGGCCCCAGCAAAAAAAGGTTGTCAAAAATCAACGGTAATTTTTAGCCACTTCAAACGTGCATATTAATTTACTAAAATTAAATTGGATCCTAATAATTCCGAGTAAAAAGTAAAGTGAAAAAACTTAACATTTACATATTGTACATTCGTTAATAAAATCAACCAATTGAATTAAAAGATTCAAGTTTTTAATGGAATTATGCCTGCGAGGGGAATTTCACTGAAAATCGGGGAGTTTCGCGGTGGCCAATGGGTAGAAAGATAAAATTAGTTGGCATCCCTGTACCTCATGCAAAATTTCCCTTTTAAAGAACAGTTCTTGCTGTGCAGTGTATATTTTGGAAGCAACTACCCATTGGCAACGTGCAGAATGCGGTTCTGAAAATAATGCCTTTTAAGGTACTAATTTTTTCATGAGAAATTTGAAGTACATTTAATTTCTGTATGAAAAGTTAGCAAATATTTGCGTGGAAAATTAATCACAATCTTTTTTCACCATAAAGTAAAGCTAAAAATCTGTAGGTCGTGAAAACTTCACTGATAAAATCAGTGCTTTGACTTCGGCAAATAAGTCCGAACGAAAATAAAAAACTCTACAAAGCTCTCCAAACCAAAACTCCTTCTTAAAGAACCGTACTTGCTGTATTTCACGCCTGTACAAAAGCGAATTAAAGAGTTCATAAAAGAACGTAGATAATAAGAAGGGACAACTCGTTATAATTCTAGCGAAAGTGAGTAACAGGGGCGTGCCTTCTCTTTTCATCCAATCAGAAAACGTACTACGGCAAAAGAGAAGGCACGCCTCTGTTACTCACACTCGAGTTCTCAATTCTTATTATCTATTTTCGACTTCATGTTTTTGGAACTACTTCTGAGTGAAAAAAGAACCGTGCTATAAGGTATATATACAAGTCCGACTGGCCGCTTCTCACATGCTTGGCACGCACAATTATACAGTCATTTTCAGTGCGTACATATTCGTGTTTGTGCGCAAAAAATTTAATTATGTATTTCAATGCTACAGATTTTTCTCTTTAATTTCAGTGATACTTATTCTGTACGGCAAGCTGATCATTATTGCAAATTATCACATATTTAGACTGTTCCTTTGAACTTCGGACTAAACCTGTGGAACTGTCAAACTATAATTTTGCTCTCTCAAGTGAGAGAAAAAGGAGAACAGATGCAGAAGTGCCCGGAAACGCAAAAAGCACTATTTCCTGTAAAAACGTCAGTCGGTTTGTTTACATGTCATTTGTACAACACTGATTTGGATAAAATATCACTAACTTATTATTAAAATCTATACATATTCAAGTATTTCGTTGTTTACTTCCATTTTTTTTACAAATATAAGGTTCTTTGCCTTCACCGCTTTCTGCTTTTATTTGCGCATGCAAATTAGCTGATCGTTTCACACTTTTCATGAACTTATATGAACTTACTAAAAAACTCCGGACTAAATCCTGTAACTTCTGCCTAGGAACAGTTGCTCAGTTACTCTCTCAAAAGTGTTCCCACTTACAGGTTTTATGTCAATTAGTCTGTTCCTTTGAACTTCGGACTAAAACCTGTGGAACTGTCAAACTACAATTTTACGCTCTCAAATGAGAGTAAAAGGAGAACAGATGCAGAAGTGCATAGGAACGCAAAAAGCACTATTTCCTGTAAAAACGTCAGACGGTTTGTTTACATGTCATTGGTACTACACTGATTTGGCTGAAATATCACTAAATAATTATTAAAATCTATACATATTTAAATATTTCGTTGTTTACTTCCATTTTTTAACAAATATAAGGTTCTTTGCTTTCACCACTTTCTGTTTTTGTTTACACATGTAAATCAGCTGATCGTTTGACACT